ATTTTGTTGTTTTGGATAAAACAAAGACCAACTAATGCCAATTGTGTGAAGTGTTTGTCTTGATTAGAAGCCATACTATCTCTTAAATATTTGGCAAGAGAGTCTTATATGTCAAGAGGACAGTGGGAGAGTCTAAAAGATCCTGAAATAGTTTCAAGAACTAATCAAGAATAAAACATGTATTTCATCACTAGCACACGACTAGAGGTTTATAACCTATCGTGTTGACATATTCTTATTTTTGTGCCATTCCAGTTAAAGTTGGCTATGCATTTGAGTTCTACATGTTCTCAGTTGTTTGCATAACTACTTGGAAGCAATAATAGGTCTTGTGCTACCAAGTGGCAAGAAGTTAAGATTGTACAAGTTCAGTTCATATGAGTTAGGATTTGTCACTAACCTACTTTTGTGATTATGGTTTTGACAAATTCACATGAATAGGAACACATACACCATAAAAATATATGTGTCATAAGGTTTCTCTGTGATTCATGAAAATGATGGTAAGGAAACACTTTCACTAAGTAGATTTTAAGTAGATAGCAATTATGATCTTTGCATTCTCAAAGTCGTTAACCGGCACACTAACATGGACTTATGAGAAATGACAAAGGTCTAACAATTGAGACTATGATTATAGCATCCCTTTTCATAGTTCTGAAATTGTTTAGATAAACCTGTGAGCTATCTAAGATAAGGTGTATGATTTTGATAAAGTTTTGTCAAAGCAATCTCGTATCAGAAATCTGAACTTTGGTAAGGAAGTCAATAAAGTATTGATTTCTAGAAGTCTAGTTGATTTCTGGGTACATGTCAAAGCTAATGGGAGCATAAGTGTTATGCTAGTAAGATAATAATCATTGTGCTAGTGGGAGCATGATTATTATGCTAAGTGTTGCAAGTTAGCAATGTTGATTATAGAAAACAAAAGTTTCGATTCGTTTTGAAAAGTTGTTTTGCTATAATTAAGGGAGAGGATATACTTCATTTCAATTCTAAAAGCTTAGATTGAGACTTTAATCAACTTTAGTCAAGGATATATATGAATGTTATGTTGGAATGGTTCAACATAAGGAAATTCTATATATGTTGCGTTCTCAAAATTCGATTATGATTACAGCATACCTCTTCATAGTTCGAATTGTGAGAACATGGCAAATAAAAAATTTTGTAGCATGACTCGTGTCCCATATGACTAAATTGATTAAGCAATTGTCAAGGACAATCTGAGGTCTACCAAAGATTGGTTGTTCATGGACTATTGGAAGTATAGTGTAATGGCAAGAGTTTAGCATTCTTACATTTACAAGAAGTATTGGGATTGTGATATGAGCATAATTGGAATCATGTTCAATTAATCTAATTCACAAAGTAGGGACCATAGACAAACATAGTGTGCATACTTGGAGTATGGCAAATCTATTGTTTGGACAAACATAGTGTGCATGCTTGGAGCATGGCATGACTATTGTTTTTATTCAAGTATTAAGTTGATTAATCAAAACATAAATAATGAGTAATCAATATGGTGCTTAGATAAAAAGTGTTTTTATTTACACTCAAAGTGTCGGGGCCATATAGGATTAATATTATTCTTGTGTTTCACTTTGCATGTTTTGACTTCCGAAATAAACTAGGTCATTCTTCCCGGATGACTAAGTTATTCAAACCATCCACAGTGGGTTATATGTTGGAAGTAGATATGAATCAAGACTGTCATGAGTTGGCTTGTAGATGTCTAAGATGTTGGACATAGCAAGAGTTTCTACAACACTCATGAGTGCTCATAAGTTCTGGGTATTGGATTCAACCCACGCTCATTTGAATCACTTCATGGATTTTATCACGAGTGATCATGAGACGATAATATCTTATATTCTTCAAACCTAGAGATATGAGTTGTTACTATGAGTTGGTTATACATTGATTGCACGAAAACACATTGGTAACTCGATGTTATAAAACGTACCTTTGTGTATAATTCAACAAGTAGTAGAACAAGCCATATGATTCGAAGTTTATCCATTCCTTTTACCTTCGGGATAAAAGCAATATCTGTGGGCCCCTCGATGATTTAGTGATGACACCCCTAAGTGCTTGGCCAAGCCTGGACTAATTTGATTTGTTCAATTAGTAGGTCGTCATAAATCGGAAATCGGGAAACAACAAATGGATAGAGAGAATGATTATAATCCATGTCTCAGTCCATATGATATCTAGAATGGAGGAATATATGATCACTTATCTAATGGATGCGTCATTTGATTTGTTCAGAGTTCGACAGCGGCTTTAAGAGCTACGATTTCTAGTCAGGTTATGAAGTCGTACTTGCAATAATAGTTTTAGACTTATCCAAGTGGGAGACTGTTGGATTAGATGTCTAAGCCCATAACTATTAGTGGTATGTACTTGATCCGAGAGTAGCATGGTCCATTTGGGTTGCATATCATCAGGACAATTTGTTAGGATGGACTTTTGAGAGAAGCTAATTTATGGTTTATTAATATATTATAAGTTATAATATATTAATATAAAATCATATGTTTTAATTAGGACCGATCAAGAATTAATTTGGAATTAATTTAGTGATCAAAAGAGACTAATTAAATCTATGGGGACTAATTATGGTAATTAGTTATATTTATATGTATTGGGCTTATGATTCATGTTGGACTAAGTTTATGTATGGATACATAAAGAGTTGGGCCACATGAACCATGGATCATAAAATCCATGGGTATGGATTTGGGTTATACCCATGATCCTTGGAATCCTACATATAAATAGGTTACTCCATTGCCAAAATCACCACTTCTTTTCATAGAGAAATATAGAGGTGTTTTGGTGTGTGAAGATTCTATCTCAAATGTCCATCTTTGTCCATGGTGTGTTGTGATTCCATTTGAGGCTTCCACACTATTAGGGATAAGCTCTTAAGGCCAAATACATCAAGACTTCAAGCTCCATCAAAAGGTATGTTATCCTAACTAGTATCTTATATGATTTATGTCAAATGTATGGTAGTTGTAGGTTTAATACCTTGGAAACCATTTGCATGTATAATTAGTGAAAACATAGATCCAAGGTATTTAGGGTTGTATGTGCACCATAGGATGTTGTAGTATACTAAAACCCAACAGTAACTACTATCTACACGCTGATGCTGATAGACTTGAGACAATGGCGCTAATACTGATCTTGACGCTAACGCTGACAGATAGCGTATAGAGAGTTTGACTCATCAGATCATAAGGTGTGACCTTACAACTAGTTCTTTTGAAGATTCGAATTTCTCTATCTCTTTCTACTATTTCTCTCTTTGTCTCTTAAAGGTTTAAGAGCATAAAGAAGACGATGATACTTTGAAGTCTCCTTTAAAACAAAAACGTCATGTTGTTCTTAAAGTCTTAAGAATATTATTATTACAAGATGAAGATTAGCATCTTATCAAGTTGATGAATTGTTGGTGTTTCTAACTAAGGTGAAGTTCTACTCTACATTCTTCATTAACTTCCAACCTCCTAAGATGAACCAAAATCTTCAAAGGTTGCAAACTTTTTCTTTTCTATGGTTGAGTTTTAATCTTCCTAAGCTTTGCAAAATGATCCTTGATGGGTAAAATGATTTTAGTTTATTCAAATCTAAAAATGTTTTCGTTGCTAATTACGACATTATAATTAAATTGCATTTGAATAAAAACCCAACAAGGCCAAGCCCACACACTCACGTGTAGCCTAGTTGTAATGCAAGTGCGCGTCATGACGCAATTTAGGCGCACTTGACATTTCACACAACGCATCAGGAACTAAGGAGCTTTTATTTTTGGTGAGTTCGGGTCAAGCCGCTTGGACTGGCCCAATCAACGGTGATTTTGTGGATAAGCAGACGGAATATTCCCGAAGCCTCCAAAACATACTGGATAAACTCCGGGTCGAATCGGATGCGATGCCAACATCATCGAATTCGAAATTTGAATTGCCACATGGAAGCTTGTGAGTGGTTGGACATTGTCATCAGATATGCTTTTGGGGGGATTCGGGTTTTTGTATTCTTTATAAATAGGACCTCTCAGGTCCCATTTATTCCACACCTCAAAATCGCCTTCTGTTCTCCTCTCTTTGCGTTTTTTTGCAAACAACAAAATTAGAGTTCTTCCGTTTTTCCGAGTAATCGCTTTGCGTTTATCTTTTCTTCTATAGTTGTTGGAACGAAGAATATTCTCCATCAAATCCAGGGTGTTTACGTTGAAGCTTACAACCTTAAAACGACGTAAAAACCTTTAAAAAGATCTTCTTTTATGTAGTCTTTTACCAATCAAAGATCAACAACTCGATGTTGGTTTTTGTTATGTTATTTTAATTCTTCTGACAATGGGACAAACTTCCTTCTCCCTTATAATGAGACATGATCGTAAATGATCGACCTGATTTCCGGACGAAACTTGGTACCTATAATAATAATAACATGATTTATTATCCGCAACTATTCGGCATGTCATTTTCAATATTATTTGTCTGTTTGACTGTTTGTCTATTTGTTTTACAACAACGGTTACCCTTATGAAGCCAAATACAGAATTAAGGATTACATCTTTCCGGTCAATTGATATTTCTGCATCTTTATCATCAAAAGTCTTCTTCCGTTTATTGGATTGTTTCTTGTATCACTCCTACATTGATTTTTTTTATTGGATTGTTTCGTGTATCACTGCTACCTTGTTGCCTTTTAATTTCAAATTCTTCATCGGCTAATCTTCGCTATTCTCCCAATCCTTTTCTGTTCAGCTTCTAAATTAATATTGATCCTCGACTCAACTTTTCATCCACCAAATGATCATGAATTCTTTTAAAAATTAAAATTATTTTTCTAGTAATGTACCTTTGTGTAACGTTTTGCGTCTTTCGTCACTATTGTTGCTAATGCCATGGCTTGTTGGTGCGAACTTCAACCCCTATTTCTAGCCTTAACCCGTTTATGAATCTGACTCATAAATCATAAAACCTCATCATGAATCCCATTACAATAGAGCAGCAAGTGATACTATAAAACAAAATTTCCCTCCTATTTCTCGACAGTTTGACTAACAATTTTGACTTACTTGATTGACTTGTTGACCCATACGTAAAAGGGTATTAGAGATGTAACACATATTTCGAACATAGTTTTTCAGTAACTAAAACTAGGTAAACATAAGACAAAATACAAAATCTTACAACAATCACTTAATAGCAATAGTAAAAATCGTTCTTTTTTTGTTTCTCTACACTTTATATGTTATATTCCCTTGAAACTATACAACTTTATAACCATCAGACATCAACTTTCTGGCTGTAATTCCACTATCTATGGCTTAAACTTAATCATAGTCTCCATCTGATTGGTCCAGCTGTGCTTGTTCTATTAAATAGTTCCACGCAAGCAATGCTGCTCCAACTGCGGGCTCCACCTTAACAAAAAACATAACACAAATGATTTTAATATTATAAAAAAATAATAATAATAATAATAATAAAACCCTTCTTTTCCTATGTAAAGTTACCTTTGGCCGAATTGGGTGGGTCCCGGGGAAGTCATTCGCAATGCAAGTAATTACTTCTTTTCCTATGTCCCACCTTCTATTTGCTTCAAGAATACCACCAACCATTACAAGTGGAAAAGTATCTTTTCCATCTGAAAAACAATTAATTTAAATAATCCCCAATTATTTCATGATTTTTTAATCAAAATATTATTTAACAATTAATTTAAATAATCCCCAATTATTTCATGATTTTTTAATCAAAATATTATTTTGTGTTTGATATTTTTGTAATATAATAAGTTTGATTCCTTCAAAAACTTTCAAAAAGTATATTTTCGATTGAATAAACCAATACAAAATATTGGCAAGTAAGATTACGTGTGAGATACATACACACAAAATAATTTTTAGAAAAAGCATAGAGAGGACTTATTTATTAACTACAGGGACCAAAACTGTAATTAATGAAAATTAAGAGCTACGGGGAGCAAAACTGTAATTAAAATACATCGACTAAAACTGTAATTGGGTCATTTCCTTAATTAAAAACTACATGGACCAAAACTGTAATTAATGAAAATTAAAAACTACAGGGACTAAAACTGTAATTAAAATTCTGGGACCAAAACTGTAACTAAAATACAAGGACTAAAACTGTAATTAAAATTCTGGGACCAAAACTGTAACTAAAATACAGGGACTAAAACTGTAACTCAGTCATTTCCTTAATTAAAAACTACATGGATCAAAACTGTAATTAATGAAAATTAAAAACTACTGTAATTAAAATACAGGGACTAAAACTGTAATTCAGTCATTTCCTTAATTAAAAACTACATGGACCAAAAATGTAATAAATGCATAAAAACTACAGGGAGCAAAAGTGTATTTCAGTGATTTCCTATATTAAAAACTATAGGGACAAAAAATGTAATTATTACATTTCCTGATATTTAAGACGGATGTATAATTTCAATTTATTGGGTCACTAGGTGTAATGGGTTTAATTAAAAAAAAAAATATGAAATTTAATAATTTGAAAAGTTTGAATTTATAAGAAAAATGAAAAAAAAAAATTAAATTATTAAAATTATTGAAACTTTAATGTATTGAATACATTACATATATAAACCATTTCTAATAAATATTTTACATATATATTACATTACACATTAAATGTGGAATTTTAATTTAATAAAATGAAAAATCCAATAAAATGACAAGTGGAAAATAGAAAATTTAAAAATTTTAGAAAATGCCAAGTGTCCAAATGAAGGAGAAGAGGACATGTGGTAAAAAAACCTTCATTTATTATAGTAGATTACAACTTTAATAAACCTTTTCTAAAGAACAAAATGGTTTAGCATATTGTTTTATTTAGTTGATTTTTCATTAATAATATACTTTGCAAATGGTTTAGCATCGTTTTATTAACCCAAGATACTGACTACTAGAGTCAAGAAAGTCAAACTGTTTTCTACCAAATGGTTATAAATTATAATGACTAAGTATGTATATTAAAAAGTATGTTGATATTTTTTTATTTTTTTATTTTTGTATTTTTGATTTTGAAATGAACCTTTTCCACACAACCCAAGTCTATGAACAACAGCTTTAACACTAGAAGCCAATTCTTGAACAGCATGAAGCAATATGTCATTTGCAACTTGATCCCCTGCTTCCGCACACGATACAACGACCGGGACTAGAGTTGCAATCCGGGCCCACGATGGATCAGCATAAGTCCACCTGGCAATGCCATTCAAATTCAAATATGGTGAGTTGAATCTAAATATAATATTTAAAAAATAAAGATATAGAAAGTGAAAAGTTGAAGAAAGAAATACCCAATGAGTTCATCTGGAGAAGAAAGTTGGAGCTCATGCAACATGCTACACGTAAGCATTGTTTGTGGGCCACGCCCATCATAAGCCCTTATTACAGCTGTCAAAGCCTTTGCAGCTATACCATATCCACTACACATATACAAGAAACAGCAATGTACTATTTCATTTATTTGTTTAATATAATATAAATATATAATATCCTACTTTCATCATTTTTCTATTACACCTTTGTATTTGGATGACATATTGACATTACTTTGATAAATCTAAAATCTACCCAATTATAGCAATAAAAATCGCTTTGTATTTGGATGACATTGCTATAATTAGGTAATTTTTTCAAAGTAAGATGTTATAATAAGCAAATATATGAAAGTAGGTTGTTATTTCTTGCATTGAAGTAGTAAAAGTTTGTATGTGATAGGATACCTTCCCCAATCACCTAAGATGGGTCCCGCACCAGAGGCCCGAGCTTCTCTCCCATCTTCAGTATATCCATAAGCAATGGTTCCAGTTCCAGCAATTAGAACACACCCATGAAGTTTTCCCATTGTTCCACTAGCCAAAGCTGCCACAGCATCATTCTCAACAAAAAATTCAACATCACTCGGGAATATATCTCTGAATTTTTCAAAAACACATACAACAAACAAGGGTCAAAATGGAACAAAAAAACCTAAATACATCATCTCAAAAATGTTCTTGCATTTTATAGAATGTAGAGCAAATAAATAACCTAAGCCAATCTAAAATTCTTTGCTGATCTGTCGGATGATTTACTCCAGAAACAGCTAAGCAAACAGCTCGAACAGAAGATCTAGTAGATCCTGATTTTAAAAGAGCTTCTGCCATAACTTGTTCTAGTGTCTCTCTTGCAGCAGTTTCTGTAAATCATATGAAACAACCATTAATATCACTATACCTAAATCATAACATTACACTTTTGAGTTTTGTATGAAGATTCTATATCAACTAAATTTGTAGCCTTGTAGGTAGCATTGATTTGATTCAGAAACAATCTTCATAAACTGAAGTACTCAATTTTTAACCCTAAGCTATGCATTTGGATAATCGTAACAAAATTTTGCTATTTCATAAAGGAAGAACAGTCGTTTAATACACATCCATGATCCATATAGATGATAAGAAATAGTCGCGATAGATGAAGAGAAGAATGGATACCTCCAACACTATTGTGATTAGAACAACCGGCAACAGCACGAGCATAAACCGGAGGAGCTTCAAGAGGATTATGATTCGGAGTGAAAGGAGTAATCGGCATGCATATACACACCGTGTCGGTAGTCCCGCCGTCCAATCCGAGTATCAATTTCTGACGACCGCCGGTAAGTTCATGCTCGAAATCCCAAGGTCCTCGAATTCTGTTCCTTTTCATGGCTTCTGTCACCTGAAATGAATTCTCCTTTTTCGAGTTTCGACAAACTATTATCGCTGTGAAAACCTCACGAATCGATCAAACACTTTTAATAAGCAACGAATCAGATACAGTAACTTGACAAAATGTCTGAGGGGAGTAATATTAAACTACTAATTACAGAATTCTATGAGTATTATAATACGATTCGGACGGCAAAAGGTCCAAAAGCTAACTGGTTAGCAGCTTCAAACAAACCTAATTTTATATGTGATATCAAAGATCAGAGACTGCAATATATTGTAAACGTCATAAAATAATGCAATATAAAATTAGTTAAGTAACGTTGAATGTCTATTTCATAGCCAATTGGCAACGATCTTCGATGTTTAACATATAATACAACAGCAAGAGTACCGAAATAGTCATATAATTTGTAAGATGTTGACCATATGTAGCTGTAGTTACTTGCATGTGTGTTTATAATAAGCAAAATTAAGGAGAGAGAGAGATTAAGGACGACGATGAAGAAATTTGCAGAGCTCTTCTTCAGTCTACTCGCGTCAGCCATAGTTTTTCTCGTGCACCACAATGCTCCCCTGAACAAAATAAAACAAAGAGAAGATGACAAATAAATAATTAATTTTTCAAAAACCAAATATAAATATTTAGTTATAAAAACTCAACTTATTTTAATGTGATTCTAAAACAATATATATATATATATATATATATATATATATATATATATATATATATATATATATATATATATATATATATATATATATATATATATATATATATATATATATATATATATATAGGGTTAGGTTCATTTGAGACCACCTATATTTTGTGAGACCGTGAGACGCATTTTTTTATTTTTTTTTTAATTTTTTTTAATTTTTTTTATTTTTTTTTAGTTAATTCATGTTCCGAAAATAATATTTAAATTTTTTTTTTCATTTTTTCATTTATTTTGCATTTTAAAATTATTTTTAAAATATGTACAGTGTAATATTCTATTTAGAATATTTCACGTATTTTTCAAAAAAAATAGAATTTTTTGTTTATTTATTTTTATTTTTTTTAATTAATTCAAGTTCCGAAAATAATATTTAAAAAAAGAATTTTTAGATTTTTCCATTTATTTTGCATTTTAAAATTATTTTTAGAATATGTCAGTGTAATATTCTATTTAGAATATTTCACGTATTTTTCAAAAAAAAAAAACGGAATTTTTTTTATTTTTTTTTATATATATTTTTTATTTTTTTTAGTTAATTCCAGTTCCGAAAATAATATTTAAAAAAAGAATTTTTGGATTTTTCCATTTATTTTGCATTTTAAAATTATTTTTAAATTTGGTCTCACGGTTTCACAAAATTATAATGGTCTCAAATGAACATGAAGCTATATATATATATATATATATATATATATATATATATATATATATATATATATATATATATATATATATATATATATATATAAGGTTTCAATTGAGAAAAAAAAAAGGTTGAGAATGGGGGAATCATTCTCAGCCACTCATTTATTTTTGCCGCAAAAGGCTCCGTCATACCAGCAGAAATGGGAAAGGAATAGACATGTGTTTTCCAACAAAACATGTTTCCTTAAACTATGCTAATCATTACCTTAATATATACAAAAACATAATTTTTTCGGTTTTTTTTTTAATTTTTAAGAAGCTATTTTTATCGAAAAATGATTTAAAATATACCAAAATTCATGATTTTTTATTCTCTACAAATAGACATCCATATTGATATAGTTTTAAGATAAAATAAAAAAATTATTTTTTTTATATTTTCAGCTATCGTTATTCATAAGTGAATAAAAATAAATCAGGTTTTTACTACAGTACATTTGTTATTCAGATATGAATAAAAACTATAATTATTTTTTTTTTTTTACAATTTAAGTATCATTCATATATGAATATAGGATATAATAAACATAGTATATTCATATTTAAATATTAAATGATGCATTCACTTATGAATATTACATAGTATATTCACTTGTGAATATTAGATGGTATATTCACTTATGAATATTAGATAATATTTTCATATCTGAATATTACAGAGTATTACATGGTATATCACATGTGAATATTATATAGTATATTCATTTATGAATATTAGATGATATATTCACTTATGAATATTACACAGTATATTCACATATGAATATTATAATGTATTTTCACATATATATAATTTTTATATGTTATTCACATATGAATAACATACAGACTTTCCTGTCAAATGATCCAACCAAACACACCATACATTTCTATCCAAACAAGATTAAACAATAACAAACAAACATCCATGAAATCATTGTCATCTGTTTTCTTTCCTGTCAAATGAAACAAACCAAACTCCCTTCGTTATCGTTGATTTCCAGTCAGACCCCTTTCTCCATCTTTTCATGATGAACACACCAAACCTGATCAAATCCTTTTCCCCCATCTACTCACCCGTTGAACATCGATCACCCAAACACCCACCTAACTGATTTACAATCAAAATAAAAGAAACAAGAAGAGGACCGTACCAATTGAAGCAGCAACTGCCCCATCGAGATCCTTCAGCACTTCCCGTCGATTACCACAGCCAAAAGCCACCATCTTCTAGACTATTTACGTCGATTGGAACCTCGGTTTCCCTTTATACCTTGGCTCGTTGACCCACTAACACCGATGCCATCTTCCCTCGCCTCCCTCTCTCTTCATTTCTCGCCGACAGGAAACAAATGAGAGGCAGCGGACGTCCGACCCAATCTCCTAGCAAAACCAAACCCTCGCTTCTAGCTTCTTTCCGACCGCAATCTCCTAGCAAAACCAAACACCTCTTGGTCTAGTCAAAACCACAGAGACCATCTCGGTTTGCGAGTCAGGAGACGAACCTCCGTGCTTCTCCCCCTTAATCAGACGAAGACGAGCACCGGAGAATCTTCACCTTGGTCTCCTTTGTTGCAGACGATGAATGTGTTTGAACTACAGATACGTATTTGATATTAAAGGTTGTTCTCGTATTTACAAGTTTGCCACCGTGTCTTTTTATGCTTGAATAAAATGAGTGGCTGAGAATGATTCCCTCATTCTCAACCTTTTTTATTTTCTCAATTGAACCCACCTCTCTCTCTCTCTCTCTCTCTATATATATATATATATATATATATATATATATATATATATATATATATATATATATATATATATATATATATATATAGGGGACGGTTCACTTGATATTAAAAAAAATAGAGATATTGAGATTCAACCTCAGCTACATATTTATCATTTGCCGCTCTAATGCTTCAGCGTACCGGTAACACCGGAGTATGCCTAATCATAAATGATTATATGGCATAGAGGTATAATCATATAGGATTATACATGTTTATACGTATATACCTAATCATAAATGATTACACATATATGTCTGTTCATAGATTGAGTAATCATAAATGATTATGACAGTTGGTGGTAGAAGAGGTGGTGGTGACAGAGGTGGCGGTGGTATAAGTAACGGATGTGACAGTGATGGGGTCGGCTGGTGTTAGAGGTGGTGATAGTGGTGGTGGCAATGACAGTTATGGTGGTGGAGATGGCGGCAGAAGAGAAAGGAATAGGCGGCGTTGTATAATCATTTATGATTATACAAGGTCTGTTGTGTCGGTACGCCGGAGGCTTACTGCAACAGATGTAAAATACATGGCTGATGTTGAATCTCAAGATCTCTATTTTATTTTTAATCTCAACGGAACCTCTCTCTCTCTCTCTCTCTCTCTCTTTATATATATATATATATATATATATATATATATATATATATATATTATTTTAAGGTTTTCTGGGCGAAGATAAAACTAATATATTTTCACTACAACATTAAATTTTTTTATGCGTTAAAACTTTCATAATTTTTGATTTCTTTTTTAAATCTAATTTTATGTAACCAACAAACTAGGGGTGTGTATAGGGCGGTTTGGTTCGGTTTTTGGTCAAAACTGAACCATAACCATTCAGAGGAGGAATGGGATTCAGAGGGGTACACTGGGCGTACGTCTAGTACGTTGCACGTAATGGCCTAAAGTGGTGTACGTTGGGTGTACAAGCTGAGTACGCAGGGTTATTATTTGGTTTGTGGATTGTTGGACCAGCTAAAGATGTATGTTTGGATTGAAAATAAGTTATTGGGCTTAGGGTGAGTCTCATGTAAAGGTTTGGGCCCAATTTAGAAAATTAGGCTATTAGTGGACCATTAGTGGACCTTTATGGACTTTGGAGTTTTGGGCTTGATTGGTTTTGGACTTGGGTCTTAGTTATGTATCTTGTTGGGCCAGGGGTAAAATGGTCATTTTACCCAAAGTATGAATTATGGAACATGGTATTGAACCCAATTGCTAACTGGATGATATTTTGGAATTGATAGCTTAAGAAGTTGTCATGGCAACAGTGAGGATTTCTTGCAGTGGACTTCAGCAGTGCGAGGTGAATTACCTTCCAGTAGAAGTGGGTCTAAGGCCATAATGCCGACCCATTAGTAGGAGTTGTTTGTTAGATAATTGTCTTTGTGATAATTGTTTGGTATGCTACTATCTGTTATGTTTATGTGCTAGTATGATATGATGTCATGTAATATTGGTAGTAGGGGAACGGTCCTTGTATCAGTCGAAAGGACCAAAGGGGTAGGTCGGGCACCCCGATATGCCTGACAATATGATTATGTGGTAGTAGTAGGGGTGAAATAGTCCCCGAAACAGGTTGAGATAAACCGGAAGGTAGGTCGGGCACCTAGATATGCCTGACGAAGGGTAGGTCGGACACCCCGTTATGTCTGACAGGGGTAGGTTGGGCACCCCGGTATGCCCAACAAGGGTAGGTTAAGCACCCCGATATGCTCAGCACGGTAGGTCAGGCACCTAGATATGTCTGACAGTATGTTATTGTATGATGTGTGGTATGACAGGGGGCTTCGTGCTTACGATTTAAAGTTTTAGTTTCAGGTACTTCGTTTTCAAAGGAAAGGAGTCGGCATGATTGCAGCGCATCACACTATGTTTTCCACACATGAGATCTTTCTGTCAGTTATATGGGTACCAATAGTCCTTTGTTAGAGGGATGTTGTGAGTTTTCTAATGTCTTTGTGCAAGAAAAATTTTTAGGCAGGAATTCATCTGATAATATATCTAAGGAGCTGGTAGAAGATAAGCTTGGGGAGGTGGAAGAGGTTGAGCTGGAATCTACTAAGAAAAAATCAGAGACAAATTTGAAAAGAAACAAACTTTTGGAAGAAAAAGAGGGAAAGGTGATTTCTGGTATGAATCTGAAACGAAAAGAATCTGAAGAGAAGATTTCTGGGAAGAAAAAGAAGATCAGAAAGAGGAAGAAGTTTGAAAATCTGCAAAGCTTATCTGAAGACAATGTAGAGTCT